TCCCTCCCTCTTTTTTTTGTAGAAAAATGTTTTATTTGTTTCATCTGTAATTTATTATTGCAATGAAATGATGCATTTCATTAGAATAATAAATGATATTTATTTTGATTGTCAGTTTAGAATCTAATTATATAAAACAAGTTTTAAAGTAAATTCCCATATCTCTAAAGTTGTAATAGTGTCTGGTGAGTATATGCTGTGGGTAAAGTACTGTATATTCTTGAATTAGCCAGTTAAATAGCACATTGGCATCCAGGTTTGGCTGTATGTAAAGCTGTATGACTTACAAAAAACAAGTCATTTCAATCATCATCCTACTAATATTGGCACTAGTCACAGGGAGCTTGCTAAAGAAAACTAATTGTCCTGAGTGTGAGGCATTGATCCTGAGAAGTATTCTGGCATGAAAATGCTCTGGAAATTGTGTGTTGCACAGATCAAGGTACCTTTTTGTAAATTGCAAACGCCGAAGCTTCTTTGACTAAACTCAAAATGCGTAGCACAGAGTCAACAAATTTAGGGTTAGGTTTGGTATTATTGTGTAAATAGAAATTTACGACTGTTACTATGGACTCTGAACTACATACCTTGTCTTTTGCTAACCTTAGGAACTTTTATCAATCTAATTCCTTTTTATCACATATTTATCACATATCACATTCTCCTCTTGACTGTAACATACTCCACCTACCTTCTCTAGCTATTTTGGATTGGCTAATATGCACTTCATCCAATGAAAGTCTGAAATATGCTTTGAAGCTATTCTTTATTTAAACTTTATCCACTAACTTTGGTTATTGTCAACTTAACCAGCTAATTTGTGAATTACCTAGATTCAGACATTAGCCATAGCATGTATATCAAGAGGAATGAGACAGATTTATGTGAATTTGATAATCTTCATAAATTTTTTGTATAGAGACTGTGTTATATTCCTGTCAAATGTTTATAATAATTTTTCCTTTTATCTTCGGGTTATGACTAACATTTCTAATCACCTGCAATTTAAATGTTAATCTTTTAATTCTTGTAAGATTTTCTATATATTATCTCTCACAAAACTAACCTCTTGGGCATATTGTGTGAACATTTAGATATGACCAGATTCGCCTGACGTTGCAGCAGCAGCAACATCATCACCAGCAACAGTAATGCTGTGTATCATTGAGGTAACAGTGCTTGTTACCTGTTTGAGCATGCTTTTACATCATCTTTTGTATTCTTTCTTTTTCTTTTTCAGATTAGCAATATGATTACAAAGCCTCTATTAATTTTATTTCAGCTTCTCATTTGCAAAATTCTGTTCTAATTATTTACTTTCAAGATCTTAAATCTTAATTTATACCTAAGTGATTTTGAACAAGCAGCATATAGGAATAGTTAGTCATCCACTCAACAAGTTTCCTTGCTCTTACCCTGTCCCTCTATTATCACAGCAGTTGGTTGCTTTCCGCTGAAATAGCAAAGGTTAGATCGGCCTTTTATTCCATATAAAGAAACATAACAGTTGTGAAGGCCCTGACATTCTGTCCATTATTCCCTCTGGCCTGTCTCCCCTGGAAACTGTTCTTATCACCATTGTCTCCAATTCTTGCGAACTTTTCCCCTTCATATTACTGGTTGAGTGCTTTTTAATACTGTTTTCTCAGTTCTGAAGACAGTTTGTATTAAGGGCTTCCTCTAACTGCCAGTTCAGGATCTCCCTGGTATAATGTTATAGAAATTTGTTATTACTTTATTTTTGCTTTTTCTAACTTTCAGCTTCTTTGCATGTTTCTTCTAAGGTACACTTACATTATTTTGCTTTAATAGCCACTCAATGCAGCCAGGGTAATCAGTTGAGGCTGTGGCTGATGTAAGATGGTATGGGATCTATTGTAGCATAAGGGAGAAGGGTGTTTTTATTGTGTGTGGCATGGTAGCCATTACACAGCTCCCTGCATCTCATCCACAAATTCCATTTTGTTTATTATTTTATTACCACTAGAGACTGAAAAAATATATAGTATGAAATGTCAAAATATGTACATAAATATGCAATGAAAACTGAGAATATGTAATAAATTTGTAAAATTGGATATTATATGTAATATTAAAATATATTCATTATAAAACAAATTAACCTAATACAAAATTACATTTATCAAAAATTTCCGAAACAAATTTTAAAAATAATACAAACGTTTCAAAAATCTTATGAACTCAGGTTGACGCACATTTTGTACTGTGCATCTTTCCCATCTTCAATAAATGCTTCTTCTATTGCTGTTCAGAACAGTAGTTAAGCAGCCAGCTAGATGCAATAGAAGCCCTCGTACAAACTGGCGATATCTACAACCAACAAACAATCACTGCTATTCTCGTCAAAGTGTTACACGTTGGCAATTGCCAAAGTTTCTTGGAAATAAGGTTAAAGACCATGAAACCCAATGTCAGAGATACTTTTCAAATCTAAAGGTGCAAATTATCTCAGTCTCTTGATGCTGACTTCTTGCCTCTGAGATAACTGAAGCAAGCATGCCAGACTGTAAGAACATCCAACCGCATCTTAATGTAGCGCATCTCTATTCGACAGCACTCAGTAGTAATGTAGGAAAAAATTCTGATTTTTTAAAAAATACTTCTTTTTGTAAAAATATGTTAAACATAGAAGAAAATTGAAGAATTAAAAAATTCTTTGTGAAAATAGAAAGTGGCAGGCAGCCTCTTCCTTTGAGCCTTGTTGCATGATGGTAAGCAGTGATGCACTGAGTATGAGAATTCAGTCAATATGCAAAGTAAGAGGATTGATGAAATAACATAATAAAATATTTATGTCAAAATTGAAATTCTTTCATTGTTTTTATATTTTTCCCGAGTTCATGGTATTTAAGAAATCTATAGATGCCTCTCACGTGGGTAAAGGCTACATAGTTTTCTCTCAATTTCTGTGCACATTGAAAATTAGTTGTATAGATAAATTGCTGTCACACACAGACTAGTTTTAAAATTTTATAATGTGAAAGATACCAGGTGAATTGACATTTGCTCGCTGCCTTTACAGAAGTGCAAGTATTGATTTAGGTGCTACCACAAAAATGAAAGGTATGCTTTTAAATTGTTCAGTAATTTCATTGCAGTAAGTTTTATAAGTGTGTATGAATTTATGCTGTACAAAAATTAATTCCCTCTTGAAACACTAAAATCATAATTTTAATTTCATTTCTGTGAATAGCTTGCTGTCTGCATATATACTCATTTTGCTGATCATGAAAAGAGACCTTCTTTAACCTTTTAAGTTCACAGTATTTCTATTAATGACTGTTATATTAATAGAACAATTTAGTGTAGTTGATGACCTTTTCATTATCGCCCATAATTATCTTCATAAATCATTTACAAAGTGCAAAGAGATAATGATGGACAGTGTGTCATACAATGTTACATTGGAAATTCAAAGACCAGTGAAAGCAAAATTGTTGATCAAATTTCAGGGGATACTGTCTCCATCTACCTACCTTTAATTCTACTGCTCTTGAACAATGAGTGGTCCTGTGGTACTAGAAGTACACTAAGGCAGGACCTCTGGAAAGTATTTACATATTTAGATGTACATTATACCGGGAATGTAAAAGAATTTCATGCACTTAGTTTCTGTTACTAAATTGAGGAATTTGTTTCTGTTACATTTCAATCTGCTTCTGTTTGAGAATCAGTTTTATGAACATAGTGAAGAATTAATATTTGTATGCATGAGAAAACAAGAGTTGGAAACTAGGTATGAAGTTTCTCCATGTCTTTTAAAACTGCTTTTGGAAATTGCGTGAAGAATACTAGAATACTTTGAAAGTTCTTATTTTCTAAAATAGGAAATGTGGCAATAAAGAAATTAATTCTCGTGTTTGTGTTGATAATGAGTCTACATTTAAAAAACATTATGTGCGGTAATGTTTGACCTACTTTTCGTAATTTTTTCCTCGCATTGTAATTATATTTTTGCCTTATAGGTTAGATGATGAATTGGAAGAGCGAGCTGTTAAGCGGAGAAGCCTTTTAAATTGGTGGTGGACGCAAACTCCAGACACAACGACAGTCTCCTCATAATACTATTCCAGATATATACAGTTAATTTTTTTATAATACCTTCTTCTTTTAATTGCACCATGATTTGGCATCTTTCACATGTCTTAAGTGGTGTTGTAATAAGCATTGAGAATGTAAAAGTATTTTTGTAGGAAAATAAGTTTTTTCATGCATGTGAAGGGGAAAATATAACCAATAACTAATTTGGCAAAAATTCTGTATGTTGTGTAATACACATTTCAAATTCTGTTAATTACAGATACAATGATAGTTGATACTGATTCAAATATTCAAGTATGACGTTAATATGTAATCTGGAGCATTAAAAAAGCAATAAAAACTATTCGCTGGCGAATCTCATTAGCAATAGGCATTCATACCTCATGTGGGTGTCTTCATTAACAATAACCTGTATCTTAGATTACTCATGCTTTGCAACTCATTATTTTGTGTATGAAATTTGTATTTGTCACGAATATTTAAGATTCTAGAAGAATATGTTATTCAAATTTTATAGACATTGAAGGAGGAATTGTTTTTCGTGTTTCATTTACTATGTTCCTTTAGGTAAAGAAATTTGTAAGCAAAGAATTTTTGGGTTAATGATCTTTATTTCGAGTGTTCCTGATACTTCAACAGTGCAATCTTAGATAGTTATCAGAGAAATTGAAAAAGAAGCAGTGTCATTGCATGTTAAGAATAAGAAAATTTTCTCTGAAATATTCACATACTGCCACAGAACTGTCAGCAATGTACTCATGTTGACATATTTCTGCCCACTGCCTTTCCATTGAGAAAGTGTGGGAACTGTTTTGAGATTTACAAATATTGCCAACATCTGATTAGAGTATATATAGTACTCTTTCTTGTATGATTTATTACAATGGGTTACAAATGCACTGACTTACATTGGTGCTTTTCAAGAATATTGGTAACATGAAGCTGAATGCTTAAAATTATTGACTTCTCATGTAAATACATGTTTTTAGGCATACAATGGCCACTTCTTGTGCACAGTGAGAACAATTTGGTAGTACTTGATATGCATGTGCATATAATAAATGTATTGTGATTGGATTGCACTGTGTAATTATAATATAAATGTATGTTTTGCCATGTAGAATTGTGTAAAGAATGTGAAAGGAATGTCTGGAAGTTATATTTCTTAAATCACTTTCCTTTCTGGTGTAAAATTCAATATGTATAAAGCGCACAGGCAAGAATGAAACAATGTATGTATAGGAAGTGAATGCACATGTTAGTTTTATTGCAGTATGCTGTTACTGAAATACCACTAAAAAGTATTTTCGTGTTGTTTTTTATATTTTTATTTATTTCTGTGTAGACAATACAAGGATGTAACTGAAGCGAACTGTGTAATACTATAAAAAACAAATTTCCTGTAAACACAACCACGTTTCAGAGTAATTTGTTAACTTTCTGTTTGTATAAAGTGGACAATTGTGCAGAAATGTTCTTCGTTGAAAATCCACATAAACCAACATAGGCAGTAGAACAAGGTTATCTCAAACTTTGGATTCAAAAACCCTCTATTTCTTGTAACATTAGTATTCTGAGACCAGTGCCAGTTAAAAAGCTATGAAAATGTAACATTTATTTTAATAATTCACACTTGTTTCAGTGCCTCAAAAAACCTCATGCAAATAATTACAATTGGAATTCCATCCATATTCTAGATATATTACTTATGATAAGCATTCCAAATTTAATTCCAAAGTCTCCAAATTTAAATCTGCCACTCATCATATTATAACCATTAGTACAGTATTTCGACTTTAATTGTTTCACATAAAATTGCATATTCTCTGTAGTTCTTATTTTTCACATGAGTTTATTTTGTTTTTGCTACTTTTCTAAAAAAATTTCAAAAAATAAACAAACAAAATGTATGCCAAATATACTTTAATGCTGACAGATACAGTAATAAATTCTGAAATGTTCTGCGAATAAATACTATATAAAATGCTTATTTGACAAATCTCTTTTACATCAGCAGTTTTTTGATGTCCTCCAATACATGCACTACTCATGTCCTCACTAATCATTATGAACTTATATCCACATCCATAGTTCGCTATAGACAGTATAGCCATTCCAGAATTTATATGAATATTATTGCCCGAAACAATGTAACGAATTCTGTTTATAAGATTCACACGTATTAATGCATTGTCCCAATTTTATATCAATACTTGGTCATTGTATTCTAGGGTCACTTATATACACAAAAACAAATAAAGCAAAATATTAACTTGTAATTTTGGTGGTTGGCTAAAAGTTTATAATAGTCCATTGTTTATACCCAGTGTGATAAATAATTGTTGACTACTTTTCATAACGCTTCAGCGTAATTATTTTCATCACTGAAATACTTTGCAAGATAAAGATATGCATACTTAACATAAAATGAATCGGTATTTGAAAATAGATTGATCAAAGATCTTGGGGCAGGTAAATTGTTAACATCAGTTCTTGCTACATAGTATAAACAAATTAAAGAAAATTGATACCTAACCACTTTGATTATTTCAGAGAGTATTCTTGGAATCATTTAAGGAAAATGTATGAAGGTATGAAAAATAAAATTATTTCCAAGACTTTTTCATATATGTCCATTTCATTATGCAATTATTGCTTTTATGCTTTGTTACAAGATAGTTTATAGTTTTACCTTTTAAAATGATATATGTAACATAATCTCTTCCATCAGAAAAAGTCAACGTTATTAATATTCTGTTCTAGAAAAAACAATTAATATTGTTCTTATGGTTTTCTTCCAACAGTTGCAATTTTGTAATTATTATTAATATTGAGATTCATATTGAAATGTGTGCCACTGAACTGCTGTTCAATGTTAATCAAATAATTAATAGTACCTATTCTAAATTGGCACTGGTCTTACTATTAAAAATGGAAAGCAATGGTTTAAAAATCCTTAAAGCGCTATTAAATGTTTCCAATTTGGGCAGATATTTGTAGGACCACAAAAAGTGATTGCCTTTTGAACATTTTGTAACATTCCTAATGAATTACCTTGTATGGTACAAAAATTGATCTCGCTAAAATATTTGTTCTTATTAAACTATGTTCCACTTGTTCTGTTTGGACTGAAGTTCACTGTACAGAGTAGCACAGGGTATATGAGGAAATTGGTTTACTTCTTTATTAACATAGCAAATTCAATATTTCAGTCCTTGTGACGAATCAATTCATAAACAATTAATGGAAATATTGTGAACAGGTAAAGCCTTTCTATGTATACAGTAATCCCTCCATTGCTTTTTAGCATATTCAATGAAGACTTTTACTTCACTTCATTTGTAAATTGTAGTAATTTTGACTGACATACAAATTGCAAGGCTTCAAATACAATCTGTAAGAACTATTAACTAAGATTTATTGTACATAATATTCATGTAGTGGATTCATTGCTAAAGTGGCAGAATGAGTACAATATGTTATTTACCTGGAGAAGAATGTTAGTTTAAAACATTTCTGTTCTGAGGAAATATTTCAGATTAACTGCAAAAGCCTCGAAAGGCAAAAACATAGAAGGTAGTTTACAGTTACTTTGGTAACATGAAGACTAACTTAATTTTCAAAGCATATGTAATCAAATTGTAGTCAAATTGAAATAGAGTCTATTTTTAAAACATTTGATTGTTTGGTTGGTGGATATGTACTGGTGCAAATAGCTTAATGTGACTGAGTACAATATATTTACTGTGAATTTATATTGGTGTACTTACAGTACTTGGCACATAAAATTATGGTACTTTTGGCACATTTACTTGGCTTACCTTGCAATACCATATCTTTTATTGATAATATTGTTTCATATTACAATAATGATTTAATTTAGAAATAATTATACCCTTCTCCAAGATGAATGTAAACATATTGTTTATCTTGCATTTTCTGGTGCTTATGACAATTCTTGAAAGTACTAAAATGGTAGAATTCTTTCAGATAAAAGTTCATTGAAAGATTGAGTAATGTATTGTTGATCATAAATTATTCACACTTCTTTGTTAAATATGGTGTTTTGAAGTGTTGTAAGTTCCAGATGGTGCTTGATAGTGGGGCATATTGTTCCTTTGGGCTCATTCATAAAGTGTTCACATATGTGCTGTGTTTACAAAGGTGTGAAGTATTCTATGTAAAGGCTAACAATATTTAAATGGTTTCAGTCAACAGATGCATTAATTTTTGAAGAAAAGTAACCAACAACGGGTAACCATTTGTATAAAATACATATTACCAGCCAGATCTGTATTGCTCAATATGAAACAAATACAGCAGTCAGATCTGAAATGTATTGTTTTTCTTCACCATCTAAATCCTGATGTTATAAAAAAATGAATAATAAGCAACTTCAACTTTGATGAAAACTTTGCTTCAATGATTAGGAAATTTAACAGCAGGCATTCTATTTGTAAAGCTCATATTCTTGCATGTAAGTTTAAACATGTGTATTTTCCCATTTCTAATGATCATCAAAACATAGGTCTAAGAACATTTGGCCGTCATCAGAAAATTCACCTTGTTAGAGGAATTCTGCGTACGCCGTCTCCATTGTGTCCCTGTGACACTTTTCCTCAGCTCAAGACTGCTCGTCAGTTAAGCAGGGATGATTAGAGTATGTTTCCTGCAGCTCCAGAAATTTTGTATTGATGGTAACATTCATCTTATCCCGATACACAACCTTTGGCCTCAGGTGGACTGACTCCAATTAGTCGAAGTCTTAGAATTCGTGAGTGTATGGCCTCGCAAGCCGAATTGTTTCACTACGCTCCGCGAAGTTACCGAGGTTAAGAAACTCGAGCCGCGGAGGATTCCTGGATGGGTGACCGTCTGGGAACCCCGAAGATGTAACGTCACCGAGCCCCTGACCGAAGGGGTAAAGGGCAATGACTGACGATGACTAAGTTTATGGAGGATAGCTCGACGTTCGACGTCAGTACGTGGTTAAAGAACGTTGTACGAAAAACGTAACAGAGCTATAAGAAAATAATGGAGCATGTCATGTGTAACCCTGCTAGTGTGAAACGGGGAAGAAGTTTCTGGTCTCAGAGAAGGCTTCTTTCTGTGAGGCACGACAACGCCTTTAACAAAAACAAAAACCAACAAAGAATCCGTTGACCTATTCAGAAGTTTCGCTAGCGCCCCCCAACAAAACGTCTAATCCAGTCCTGCTCAACTCTGTAGCCGCGGAGTGGCCACGATCCCGGATATTCGTCCGCGAGCAGCGTTGTGCCGGGAGAGGGGATGGACGCCACTCAGCGGCGGGGGAAATGGCCTAGGGAGAGAACTGCGGGATGGTAGGATTCATTTTCTATAATCCAATAGGAATAAATAAAAATTTACATAAAGTTTCATTCCATGTATTCTTAACCAGCCATCGGCTCAGGAGTGCATGGCACAGGACATACGGACTAAAGTACGATTTATTTAGCCGTGCACTTGACGTAAATCAGCTGTTGCGGTCTCATCCAATCGGGAGCTTATGTCGTTAAAGATACGTCCAAGTTCCCGATTGGTTGAAACTGAAACCACGTAAAGTGCAGGGTTAAATAAATTGATTTGATGCTTATTTTACGCGTCGAGACACGGGCGATCAGACCCGCTCTTCCGTCTGACCACGCAAATTTCGCTACGCTCCTTTCACTAGCGGAGAAAGGAGGTATCACTCGGGCGACGAAACAGGCGACTTGAATTTAGGCTTGAGGACGTGCTGTAAATCTACTATCATGGGACAGAAGGAAGGCGTACGAAGGCTTCCCCCCCTGAAAAATTCACGTCTTCGATCGGATTGAACTCACGAAATATTATATAACTGTCCGATACGCTAACCGTTTCACTGCCAGTATATAGACGTTTAGTATAGTTAAGGCTATATGTACCGACGCTAATTCAATTTGTCGCCACCACGTAGCAGCACCAAATTACTTTACTAATAACGTCTGAACAAATGGTCCGATTTTCAATCAGTAATCGACATATGATTTGTATTTAATATAGAATTTACGCTATGAAGCCTATTCGACAAAAACTGAAAAATTAGTTTTGAATTTTTTGGGGTGGGGGGGAATAGTTCAGGGAAGAAATTAAAAAATGTGAACTTGTAGCGCGATGGCGAAGTGCTTCCTGGATCCAATCATCTAAATCGGCTGAATAGGCGCGTCGTAAAGTAAAATTTGGCAAAATACAATGTCCACCTCCCTCATGCCGCACCGCCGCCGCGCATGGGGGCGCCGGCTTCTAGGGGCACGGAAGCATTCCGCCAAGCATTAGGAGGAGCTAGGCAGGCAAGCAGGTGGTTCTCTTGTGGCTCGTCTGGGATTTGTCATATAATGCTTTCACTATTTTCCTCATTACAATATTAGTTTGACATTCTCGTATACGTACGTATATGCCGAGAAATGTATGTAGTCTAGACAAAGTTAGTATGTAATGTTGCGGAAAATCCATTTCGAGACTTCAACAAAATGCATGTTTTGGGGCCCCCTGATTCCGGAAAAGTGTCTTTTTTTCAAAACAGTCTGTCTGCCCTTCTGTGAACAATACTAGGGCAGTAACTACAAGTATTCCTAGAATTTTATCGAAAATATCCACTGGTCAATCGGCCTGCCTTAAAGCATTTCAAGTTTGAAAAATATTGGGATACTTGGGGATACTTTAAATGACGTCCCTGAGACATCTTTTATGTTTTCTCAAAAATGGCTCCAAATTCTTTATTCAAAATTGTTGTAAGAGTAAACTGAAATATGCTTCTTAAGATGGCATACGTCCGATGTTTACGGTTATCTTTGAGTTTTTAAAGGTTACAAAAGTTTGAATTTTTTCTCACAACTACAATATTGAAGACAGGTATTTTTTCTTCAAATGAAATTTGTTCTCCCAAATTAGTTCTTTCATTGACGTCAGGTACATGTCTTTGAAAATTTTAGTTGTTTTCTTGCAATATTGCGTGAACTATATGCGTCACTAAAAATATTAAAAACAAGAATTACAGAAAAATGGCTCCTTTTTTTCAAACTTTTGGTAGGAATGGTACTAATTGTCCTGTGTAACATGACATAAAAGCTGTATTACTATATTCTTTTGTTTTTTTCAAAACTTAAACGTTTTTTAAAATTTCTCTCATGTACTTAATATTTACATTACCAGCGACTTGAATACGTTATTGCGTTTGTGAGTTCTCGTTCTTTTAATAGTGTCTCATAAATAGAGACCGGAAGAATACGTAGTATGAAAGTCAAAGTATGTACATAAATATGTAATGAAAACAGTAAGAATATGTAAAATTGTATAAAATATGTAGTATTGAAATACACCAATTATAAAACGAACATTTACATAATATGAAATTACATTTATAAAAAATCCTAAATAAATTTAAAAAATATACAAACGCTTTAAAAAAAATTTGGAGAGTACAAATTGATGGATGCTTTGTACGAAGGTTGCCTTTTATGTTTCGGGATTTGGCAACCCTGGTGTAGCAATCTGGCAACTGACAGCTCTATCGTAAAGTTGGATGTTTTCAGGTTATACGTACTCAGAACGTTTTGACATACGAGCGCTATTTGTGTTTACAGTAACTTAAAATATTCATCTTGGCCCAAAAATGGAATTAAATCGTGAACATTTTCATGCGATTATTTTTTACAACTTCCGACGTGGATTAACTCAGCAACAGTGCATGGATGAACTTAATTCAATTTTTGGCGATGAAGCTCCATCAAGGACCAGTGTTTATCGATTGTATGGTGAATTCAATCGTGGTCGTAGTTCACTCCAAGACGAATTTCGCGAAGGTCGTCCAAAATCAGTTGTTGTTCCGAAAACCATTGATGCTGCGCGTGAACCGATATTGCAAGATCGTCATGTGACCTATCGTGAGATTGAGACAACCTTAGGCATTAGTGGGACCAGCATACATTCAATATTGCATGAACATTTGGCTGTCAACAAAATTTGTTCGCGTTGGATCCCACACAATTTGTCAATCGCTCGCTCAAAAAAAGGCTCGTGTCGATTGGTCGAAAGAAATGCTCAAAAAATACGATCGCGGTGCTTCGAAACACGTCTATGACGTGACAGGCGATGAATCGTGGATTTACGTGTATGAGCGAGAAAGTAAACAGCAGTCGACTGTATGGGTGTTTCAAGATGAGCAAAATCCAACAAAAGTTGTTCGCGCACGAAGCACTTCCAAACACATGGTCGCCTGTTTTTTTCGGAAAAGCATCAATTTGATGAGTCATCCGCTGTATGAGACTTGGCACCGAATGACTTTTTTTATTCCCGTACGTAAAAAACTGAGGTCAACGTTTTTCGACACCTGAAGAAGCGGTTGCTGCATTCAGAATGTATGTTTTGGAGATACCTCAATCAGAGTGGCACAAATGCTACGATAATTGGTTCAAACGCATGCAGAAGTGTATAGATCTTCGTGGGGAATATTTTGAAAACCAATAAAGTGATTTTCGATTATTAATATTTGTTTTTGTTCTCTAATCTTGAAATATAAAAGGCAACCCTCGTACCATACAACTTTCCCGTCAGTTATAAAACCTTCATGTACTACTATTCAGGACGGTCGTTTAGCAGCCGGACTAGACGCAATAGAAACCATTCTACAAGCTGGCGGTATCTACGACCAGCAATCACTGTAGCGTGCAGCATTCTCAGCGAAGAGTTACATGTCGACGATCGGCAAAGTTACTCGGAAATTAAGGTTAAAGTACACGAGACGTGGCGTCAGGGATACTTTTCATACCTGAAGGTGAGACTGATCTCAATCACTGACGCGCACTTCGCTCTAAGATAACTAATGCAGACGACTGTGAGAACATCCTACCGCGACTTCATGTAGCGAACCTCACGTAGACAGCACGCAGTAACGATGTAGGAAATAAGTGTTTTTTAATACTTCTTGTCATAAAAATGAGTTATAAATTGGAAGAAAATTGATAATAAAAAATATTTTATGAAAATAGCAAAATATATAATATAGTACTAAATATGTAAAAATATGCAACGAAAAATTTGTATTGTGTTAGGACGGCGACGATTCGCCAAGATTAAAATTTTTAGATCGGTTAGAAGACAAAAAATGTAATTACAAAGATAACATTTATTATTTTATTTACGTCATTAACAATTAAAAACTGTGTGTGACGTTGTAATGGACCACACAGGCGCAATTATTCGTGTAATGCGCCGCTGAGTCACAATATCATAGAGGGGGTGTTGCCATCACACTTACGGTGCGACGACACCAGGATGCATGCGCTGAGTTTACGAGTGTTTCGGAGGGCGCCAAGCGTATGCCTAACATGTGATCTGGACAGCGGCGTTGAGACATGATCAGGGGTGGGCACCCTGGGTCGAAGGATTGCATTTGCTTACTGGCTATAAATAATACACTTTTTTGTGTGATCACCCGACCAAAATGACGGGGACGCGTTTATTGCCATAGAAAATTGTCTCTTTTACATTACTATTCCTTCTAGTGCTTTATTTTGGTTATTGACTAAAATGGGTGTGAACACATACAGAAAATGGTGATATTAGAAATTCTGCTACCTCCGAAAGGATTACATGTCCAAATATCGGCCGGCGGCAGCAGATAACCCATTGAAGAACCATGGAAGACTCCTGTACTCGGCAGGAACACGACGCCTGGCTGAGCTGTAGGTCGTCCGCGGAATTGAAGCGTCAGTTTTTTGATGCGCGGGTCTCAGGTCATCATACGTCGCCTGGACCGCGTATTATCATTGGCAGCACACCCTCTCGTGTAATTTTTGGGTGTTACTCCTACTGTCCTAGCCAGGCATCCGGAATAAATTCCGATGCTGGAATAATGGCTGGTAGGACCTGGAGACTAGCGATCGTTTTCGTGTGGCTGTAGTCGCCGTTGAACACGAAGAACTCTCTTTAATAGTCGACCGCTCGCTCCAAGTCTTTCTCCAATTCTCAATCTTTCTAGCGCCGTTCGCTCACCGAATTCCCGTCCCCACCCCTCTCGCAAAATGCCCGTCCTATCACGTGCTCAGCGTTATATGCCAGTCTTCTACGGTGCTTTGTGATTTATTGTCACGTAGGAATTTCTGGTGGGCTACTCTCGCCTCATGATTTCACAGATCCGGTAGTCAGTCACCTATTGCTACACACACAGAAGGGTGCGTTTCGGGGACGGACGCTCGCTGGGTAATACTGGGTTAGCGGCGCACTCCCAGCTGCGCGTGTCGAATTGTGTCAACGGCGCTCTTCGCCTCGCAATATGCTAATAGAGCGTGACGCAAGGGTCGCGCTGTCTGATGGGTAAGTGGTATGCAAGAAAGTAAGAGGTACAGTTTTCTATGGTTAAATCTTCACCATAAAAATTCCAAAAAAAATTAGAACTTGTGAAAAGTAAAGCTAAGAAGACACCAATCACTAAGAAGCAGTTTTTTCAGTGTGCACAATGATCCTGATACACACTAACAATAAGCATCCCTGAACCACAGCACCAACACTGATGATGCATTTGGTTTGGTAACAAACTTTCTTGCAGTCACCAGAGAAGAGCGAGTACAATGTTTCATTTGTCTCCCACAGCATGTGCTCTAGTAGATGCTCTGCTTACTGTAGTCAATGTTAGGTATGTAATTTTTATAAAATTGTGTCCTAGAATCTATTCCTTGTATTCTGTACTGCCATAGTCATCTAACAGTTCCACACATCAATGCTTCTTTCATTATGCATAGTGATAATGGGTTATTTTCTACTTATTTTGTTGTGTTCTATCTTTGCCCATTTTCATCAAATACACATGTATTTCATATTGTTTTTTTTTATTTGTCCACTGAACTGTATTTTCCAATATTATTGTGTTTTCACTCAGTACAAGGACAATAGTATGTTTGCAATTTTGATAACCTGCTACTGAAGGGCCAGACTAACGTAACTACAATTTTTGCAATTCTTTATTTACAACTCGATCTTAGTATAGAAGTCGGGACATAATTTATCTACAAAATTATATATCTTATTAGAATGAAAGGAACAGGATGTGTCATATTTGTGCGATTCAAAATATTTTGCAGGTGCAGTTTACGTCAGTCTAACCCTAAGGTGGCAAACAGATCCTTGCACTATGTTACAATGCGATTTGCCACAAATCATGTGTCTGATATTAAAACAAATTGAAATACACTGATGAACTGAATATCAGTATTTACCGACAATTTGCAATTCATAACTAATAAGTATGATCTAACAACATTGTGGAAACCATAAACAGAAGAGAGAAGAAAAGAAAAGAAAAAAGAGGGAGAAAGAGGTAGATAGATAGATATTGGAACTTACTCCTATCCCAGCTATTATCAATTCTTTCGTATTTTGTTAACAATTGGCCCGACAAACAGGTCAATGAAATTCTTAATGCTTGTTTTCAGAGCAATATTAGGAGTAATTACAGGAGCAGAGGAGTAATTACTCTAATTTCAGTTCAGTATGAGTTCAGTATAAGACCATTTTATTGCATTTTAATGCATTAACAAAAGTATACAACTATATTACAACTGACAACAAATACAACAAGTCAAATCAAAAAATACAGAACAATTATTATCTTGAATTACTCATTCTCTGACTACTCTCCAAGAGAAAACTTCAAGATATTGGATCAAAACTTCTATCCAATGAACCTACATTGAATGTTATTCATTCTTTGCCATCTGATTGCTTAAATATCGTTCAATATCATTAGATCTTCATTTCAATCAGTGATCATCAGATTTCAAAAATTTTTCATATTCTTCTTCACTCATAAGTCCAGTTAACTCTTCAGGTCTTGTTAATTCTACCTTGAACAGCCAACCTTTAAAAGAAACAATACTCTAATTAAATGTAAATTTGCATGTTTTAAAGTATTGCATTTTTCAGAGAATTCACCCCCACACTATCATACGTTATATTTCTTCACAATAATTTTGAAGGTTATAGATAACCAAAATTAATTGACATTTTTAAAGATTTCATGTTTTTATTCAGTATTAAAGTAATGAACAATAATGAATATTTGAAGTTTTCACTGGAAAATTAAATTTCCCACATTTTACACAAAAGTGCACTGCTATGTATTTAACTTACATGCTTACTTTGAACTCTCAGGAGCATGAGAAAAATAAATCAAGACTCCAAAATAATACAACACATAAGCTGCAATTTAATGTACAATTTGTATAAAACACAATTACCACATTACATTGGAAAGTTCTTAAATTTCCTTTTTGGAGAGAAAAATAAAATAAAATTTTAAAATCATTCTGAATGAAGCCTACTCAAGGAAAAGACCTTTATGTAATAACATTATGTAATCTTCAGATATTCTAATCAATAAATCACAGTGTTATTGCAAACTTTAGGATTAGTTACATTAAAATTTCTTATTGAACAGGGACAGTTTTTCTGGGGAGACAAAGTCCTATAATCCACTATACTTTCACAGCAACTTTCTTACTTGTCTACATGCTTAGTTTTTCCGCAAGGTTATTCTTATTAGAAGAAATAGTTTCTTTTAAAGCATTTTAAAGATTTGCTATTGCCTTCTCTTTCCATGAAGATTGCAAGGATAATAAACCGAGTGTGATGTTACTTGACTGAACCTCCTTGCACCCATCAGGCAGCTAACTAGCAGTTGAAGTCACAATCTTTGACGCCCCAGAAGCCCTCAGAACTTTATTATTAGAAAGCATCAGATTGATAGATTTATCGGATTTATTAACAATCCATTTTAATACTGAGATACTACTAAACTATCAAATAAGATGTAAATTCTCATACCTTTTTCATAACAACTATTATTGATGAGGCCTGGTGTCTGCTCAACTGACGTGTTCTTCTCTACCACTTTTCCAGACACAGGACAATAGAGTTCACTAGCAGCTTTAACACTTTCGAGTGCACCACATTCTCCTGAGAAGGAAAGGCATTAATGAACCAGAGATTGTATGATTTCTATGATCTCAAATTAAATTAATAGCCTTATAATTATTGTCAACCAACTTCTTGGTGTGCAGAATAATGTTCCTTACGAAAATAGTTCGACAATATGTCACTGGATCTACGTTAAATTTAATGAATGTAAATACAGGTGTGAATCCAAAGGGAGGAAAATTACCCCCCCCCCCTAAATTTCAATAACTATTAATTTGCTTGAAAGCATCCAGCAAAAATATTTTCAGAAAATCGTTAAAACAAATAAAATCATATTGCAGCATGAGCTGACTTTAGCCATCATCATTCTACATAACCTGTAATGTGTAAATATATTTATATATAATGAATGAAATGGACATTGTCAAATAAAATACAGATACTGAAAGTTTTACTGATGAGGTCCCACACATGAATTAATTTCATTCACACATTTTACCATAAGTATATAAAACTTTTGACCATAAAAGTGTAGAAATTGAGATATTTTACTATTCACAATATAGATTGCACAACTGACTGATACAATGCTAACTCAAGTTTCTCCCAGAATTATGCAACATTAAGGTAATATTGTTAAAAAAAAAAGTTTAAAATAAAACCTTATTACCTTTTTGTTCTACTACAGTTCCCACATCAGGAAGCTGAGCATAAACTACATCACCCAGTGAATCCTGCAATTAAAGAAAAACAAGATGAAAGGTATCTACCATAGAATTGTTAAAACACAGAACTTTTAAGTATGTACCATGAACACTTTCAAATGAGATTAATCTACTTAACTGACCATCAAGTAAACATGTTCAAATATGGAACAATAGGATGGAGTGGTTTTTAAGCAAACATGTATTTCCCCTACAAACCACGTCTTATTAATAATTAACCACTCATTGGAGGAGAATTCTAGCTACCAGCTGCTATTAATCAATAGTTTTCCATGGATTCTACAATCAATACCAATACCACAAATGTCAGAACAGTACCATAACAGGCACATGATCTTTCCTTCCTCATATTTGCACCCTTTCCTCCATTTAAGCTTTGCACTTAAATGTACTACACCATGACATGTCAGAAGAGCTTGTTTCAGCTGGGACGGCGCCCTGCTGGGGAGCGCTGCTTGGCAAAAGGAAACCCTGCAAGCCGACCTGTAGGTTAGTGATGGACTTCAGTTACCAAACATCTTGTTACGTCACCATACCCAACCATGTAGTATTCATTACTAAATATTTACCATATGATGCCAAGATTGATCATATTCATATTTAATTTGTCAGCTATTCTGTGTGGGACAGTCAGTCAGAGATGATTGTACATCAACAGCTTTGATTCCATTATAGACCTTACATTTAAAAAGCCACAAATATACTTCTTATGAAAGCAATCCCAAAATGAATTACTTCAGCATTGTCTCAAAGTTTAAATGGTTTCCTTGTTACCATTTAATTTAACTGACAAGCAGTAATATGATATTTTGTTTTCTATGGTGAAAATATCCTTTGCAGTGAAAGTGTTAGAATGGGCTATTCAACTAGTACTCTACTAGAGTCTCACAATAGTTATTCATTTCATGGTAATTTGAAGCACAGCCCATCAGAACCACTTCTCTAATGGCAAGATAATGCTATAAAATGCTCTCAAACTATTTTTAGAATGACCTAAAAGCAAAGAAACGTGACAAAATATTTTATCAAAACCACTTCAGATGAACAACTCAAGCTGTTGGACATATTACAGATGTAATTGAGACTCCTTTTTTTCATCCAAGTGAACTCTGCTCACAAACTTTTGTGACAAGGAAATTGTCTTTTTTATCTCCAAATCAGCCAAACTGACAAGGATGCATCACAGGAACTTAAGATTATTAAGAACAGTTGACATTACATTTTCTGAGGAAAGAAATCAAATACGTTACTCAGATATTCTATTGAGAACATTTGTTACACCTCGTAAATATTACTTAAAAGCAAGCACTATAAAAATTATATTAAAAATCTATGAAATCAGAGAAAAATTCTTTAATAATGAAAGAAAAGGGTAATAAATGACTTATTAGTCAAATCAACGAAAAATACAAAAAACATACAAATGGTCATTTCCTTTCATCACAGCATAAATTTAATGTCTATACTGAAAGACATCGTTCTCTAGTGAAAAGGAAACAAAATGACCTTTCATTAAAATCCACCCCCTATTTATCAGATTCACAGTGTACTGCACTAATTTAATACCATTAACTACTTGTGCTACAACAGCACATCCTTTCTCACATATTTATAAATTTTCAAAATCTCACAGTTAAACAAAAATGAGACCAGCACCATTCTGTTAAGCATTCCTTGTTTTATCCATGGCAAACATTTAGTGTTTTTTGAGAAGATTCCCCCCCCCCCCATAATTCACAAACTTGGTCAAAAAGTCATGAAAACTAGTTTTTTCAATAAATAATGCATGACTTTTTTTTTTAATTGCTTTTAGAACAGACAAGACAAAAATTTCTATCTTCACATTTGAAGTTTTGGAATGTTACCTTTTTTGCAAATTTTCAAAAATATCAAGATTTTGCTGGAAATGGGGCTAGCACCAATTCTTTTTAACATTCTTTGATACATACGAGGAAAATACTGAAGAAAAAATTTGGAGCCATTTTTGAGTATAAAATTGTTAAAATTCCATCATCAGTCTTAGTAAGTCATTGCCCTTTAACCCTTCAGCCAGGAACTCTGCAATGTTAGATCCCCACCCAAGGTACCCAGGCAGGTCACATATTCAGGAACCTGTGGTGTCATGATTGCTTTTCCTCTGTGATTTCACAGAGCATGGTTAAGGAATTCAGCTTCCAATGCCATGTTAATGTCCTAGAAGTATGATCTTCAGATGATAGGGCTGGCACTTTTTCCTACGGTTCAGGAATCTGGAACTACTTGTAACACCCCAGCATCATTATCCTAGTACAGTGCCACACACTTACCTGATGTAGGTTGTCAGTTGCCCCAAGAAAAAAAATTTAAACCAATTTTCCACAAAATTTCGAACGACATTCTATGAATTTATTACTGTTTGCTAGAAAGCATTTCCTTTGATTTTTATCGAGTTTTTCTTTTAAGCGTTAAACAACAGTCACAGCTTTATATAGAACTGATATAGACAAAACATCCAGTACATCAAATTTTGCCATAATGACATATAAACTTCATTTCTTTGTTTTATCAAGGTTCAGGATATTTTATCACCAGAAGCATTTCATACTGAAAGAAATTAGTAATCATTTACTATAACTAAAATGAACTTAATTGTTCAGAATGTTTGGGCAATACTCATGGGTTGAAGGGTCACTAGAACATCTAAAATGTCCCGTATCAGGCTATACAGAAATCTGTCTATCCATAATATATACTTCTCAGTCTAATGTGTAGACTGGCCAACTGACTTCTTCAATTTATAAAATAAAATAATAATATATATCTATACCTGTGTGCGTTTTAAATGTATGTTAATGATATCCATTTAAATTCAAAAAATAAGTGTAGTAAATATTTCATTAAAATTTACATTTTTAATTCTTAAGTATTTGGATAATTCAACCTTTAGTAATTAATATTTTGAACTATAAATATAATGTTCACCGATTGTTAGTGAATTTTGAAAATAAATAATGAAGTAAGTGATTCAGAATACGAAATTTTATACATAACTAGCAATGAATAATGCTATGGATAAATTATGCCAGCTTACATTAATTAAGAATTGCAATTATTTTGGGTACATACATTTCCTTCTTCAATATTCAAAGACAATAGAAAAAAGCTGTTTGGTGCATTTTAGTAATAACAAGAATTGATAACAAAGTGAGTATTAATAAAGATTACGTGATAATATGAACATCAAAATAGGTTTCTTAACGAGAAATATTAACAAATGCCTTGAATTTTAAAGACTGCAAAGTTAAGATCTGAAGAAGGTTTAACATGAAAAACTTCATTTTTTCAACCAAGTTCAAGAACTAAAAAGTATTCTTAAATCATTAGCCATCAAAATTTAAAATAAAAAACTTATAATAAAAAATTAGTTTGACTTACCAACCTGGGCATAGTGTGATATGCCAACAGTTCCAACATTTCCGTCTATTGATATCCATTCGTGCTTGTCAGTGAATCGTCGAACTAAAGGAGGATAAAGAATATTAAAAACCAAGTGGTATCAAATTTTTTATTCAAGGTGAAAATATATTGGAAGCTGATGGGTAACAAATGATACTATGAATAATCGCTTGACAAAAACGAAACCAAATGGTCATTTAAAACTGGGAGAGAGGCTCTTAGGACTTACTGTACTTACCGTTTGTTGAACGACATGCAGATGTCGAAACTAATCGGAATGCATTCTCTGAAAGTTTTGGTAAATATCTGCCACAATTTTGCAGCAAATTAATGCTCCTCCCAGATATCCGGGCACCACAACGTAGAATGTTCAGCGACATAACCATGGTGAATAATTAGGTTTTCTACAATCGATTAATTCCAAGGTATACTACGATGGGGTCTATAAAGAATAAATGTGGTTAGTCAACTGAACGTATCGCTACCCCAAACAAATTAAACTGAGATCAGTGAAATCGTCACATCCGTAGTAATGCGAGAGGATTATGCCGCAACATCATAACCTCTATTGACGCACTGTCCACGTGATTGACGTTTGCCAGTTTTACGTCGACAAAATTAACCATTCATTAATAAAATTTTATACTATAATTAATTTCATTTAATACAAAATATCAATTTCAGTGAAAGAATTGCTGTGAAAAGAGTTCAGGGGGTATTGATGTCCTTATATTTACATTTAAAATGCAAGTCGATACTTTTAATTACAAGTACATGCCATTATAATGTATAATTTGACAACTCAGCACGATGACCTCGCGTCAGCTTATCACACAGGGCAATTCAGGTTAGAGTTCAACGCTAGATCTCTGCCCATTTTCTACTCAATTCAAAATAACAGTTGGGCCTGATCATGTCAGACAACATTGACACGAATACTCCTGCCTACATTATGATAAAGATTTAAAATTTGAACTGTTACATTTTAATGTGACTTTGAAAAATTAATTACAAATTTAAACCACATTTCTATCCACTAGACTTTAAGTCTAAACTACACCCATTACTTAAATGCTCTAAAGACGTTGTCTAGTTTGGAAAATTAGCACACGTTGTTGGACCTGTTGCAGTTGGCGGGATTTCTGATCCATCTTTACTTATCATATTTTGTGAATATACAGTTGAAGCAAGTTTTTCGCAAAAATTTAAACAAACAATTAATAACAATATTGCGATTATTTTAATATGGCCAATGCACTTAATCGCTGTAGATGACAGCATTTATATTAGGAAGTACAAATTATTTTATGCAGCAAACAGGAATACAATATTACTTTTATTGTCCTAAAATTAATAGTATGTGTTTTTTACGAATTAATTCACTACAAGAACTTACAAATTTAAAATAATACAAAAAAAAATTAATTGAAAAGGACATGATTCGTTGAGATTTTTCTGTTGTTTTCTATTGGCCGGTCGTCCCGCGAAAACGCAACGAACACTGCGGCGGGCGGCTGCTCAATCCTCAACCGACCCACACTTTGTATTTGGAGCAGTGCGGAGCGGTTCGGTGGCGGTTCGTGTCTGTGTGGTGTGGTGTCCTACACTTGCCGGTCGAGTGTTAGCGAGTTTTTTTGTTTCTGTGTTGTCGTTTGTAAGTTTGTTATCCGTTCTTATGCTGTGCACTATGTAATGTCTAGATTCATAAGTGAATGATTTTTGATTTGTTAACGTAGCTCATATGCTAATATTTGCTGTGCAGATCTGAATCTTCTCTTCTAATTTGATTTTTTCTGTGATAGTGACTTCGGTGAGCCATGTCAGGAAGGGGAAAAGGAGGTATGGTGTTTTTATATTAGTATATTGCATTGTTTAAGTTTTGTACAACCATTTTTAACCCTAGTTGTTTTTCGTAGGCAAGGCTAAGGGAAAGGCAAAGTCTCGATCAAATAGAGCAGGTCTACAGTTTCCTGTAGGACGAATCCATAGGTTACTTCGTAAAGGAAATTATGCCGAGAGAGTAGGAGCAGGTGCACCTGTTTATCTAGCTGCAGTAATGGAGTACTTAGCGGCCGAAGTATTGGAATTGGCTGGTAATGCCGCTCGTGATAATAAAAAAACCAGGTAGGCAAACATGGGTTAGAGTTGAGTAGTGTGAGTGACATTGTTTCTATTTTAACGAATTACTATTTTCTTGTCAGGATTATTCCGAGGCACCTTCAGTTGGCTATTCGCAATGACGAGGAATTGAATAAATTGCTTTCTGGAGTTACAATTGCTCAGGGTGGAGTTCTGCCTAATATTCAGGCTGTACTTTTGCCTAAGAAGACTGGACAATCATCAGGACCAAGCAAGGGAAAATCGAATGCATTGTCACAAGAATATTAAGTTTACACATGCTCTGCTGTTATGTATTTATTAAATGCCATGTCACCACAATCATGTTGCAGAACATTGAAGATGTGTTCAATATGGAACTTAAAATGCCTCAAGTTACTTTCAGTTGTTTTTTTTGTATAATCATTGTTCGTTTCTTCATTCTTTTATAATAAAATTTTTAAAATAAAAAGTTGAATATTATTTCCCCAAGTGAATTGCATTCCAGACATAATCCAATTCTGCCTACTTCTGAAAACCTGTTGTGGACAGAAGAGGTAATAATGCATGGCCAAAAAATTAAATGGTATGGATAGTTTTTGGTCTTATCTGCAATTTCCATCTTTTGTTCAAAAGAAATGAGAGTTGTGTGTAATAATGAGGAGGTATTGAGATTTAAAGCTACAATCTGGAATGGGTCTGAATTCCCAGTAATGTTTATTGGTAGTAAAATTAATATTTTGAGAAATATAACTATTCTTACTAATTTTAATAATCTTGACCTTTTTTTTTTAAAGTGTATAGTGATAAAATTCCTTTAAGGGAGAAATGCTTCCCACCGACTTCGGGGTTTATGGAAAAGTGCTCAAGTAAACCATTATACAAATTTATTACTTTAAAAGCTTTCTAACATTGTTATAAGCTTCTCGATGACTTCACTTGTTTTCAGCAATAAGTGCTCTGACTTGGCAGTATTGTGCAAGAATGGTAAAATTTCTATGAAAGAATACCCTTTTTTTAAATCATACTAGTAGATGGTGCCACAAGCTTATTTGGTAATGTGGATGCAAGAGGTGTTTAAAGAACACAAAACTAGAAGTGAATCTAATTTAATCATTTTGTGGGTTAGGGTAGTATTTGCACTGGGCACCTAAAATATATAGTATCTATTTTTGAAAATATAATAATTTAATGATCAATTTAAAAACTTGTTTTGATAACATTTTATTTTGCTTTTAAAGGATAAATAAATCATTTAACAATTTTGGTTTAAAGTAAAAACCAATAACATTTTTTTAAATCTTGAGTTAAATAAAATTTTATTTCATTTTTAAAAAATCGTGAAGTTTTTCAGCTCTAATTATTACTTTTGTGTTTATGGGGAAGTGGAATTTCAATGTGAAGATTGATTCTCCTAATTATAGTGTTTACTGCCAATTAATTGTTTGAGGTAATTCTGAAATGTACCCCACTGGATGTATATATTTTTGAGGTGGCATATCAATGGTAGCAAGTGTTCGCAGTGCCAAGGGCTGCTGGTTATTCTGTGTCAAAATATGGATGTTTTCATTGTAAGAGGTGGAAGACAGTGGTAAAGCAACAATAACCATCAAACTATATAGTCTTCATGACTAGCAAGGCTGAAGGCTAATTACAAACCTTTTAAGTAATAGCAGATTTGTATCATGAGTCAACAATGGTCTTTCTAATTCTTGCAATTTCAAAAAATTGGGGATGATATAAAAGAATATAAGACAGAAAAAATATAAAGAGGGTTTCATCAGGGACCTGATGCTACTGGCCACTGCCCAGTGGCTTACCTTGCTAAATACCAGTTAGTCTCCAGCAATGAATTGATTAAAAAAAAGTGTTATACGAGAGAGGGCAGGGGTGTGTCAGGTTTCTAAAATTGGAATAATAGGCAGAGGACAGGCAAACCAGTGAGGGCAGCCAAGAGGAGCGGGGTCAAAAAGTATAAATGATAAAGTTTGCAAGGGAGAGGGAAGAGAAAAAAAGCAAAGAAATGGACGAAGAAGTAGGCGAAAAAAGTGAAGTTATTTGAGGAACATTACAGAAAGCTACGTTTAATTTACAGTAGCACTTAACATAAATATACAATAATTTTTACACCAGAGAAGCACAATACACTATAAGCTAATAACAGTAATTTTAAACACAATACTGGCAGTATTAAGGAACAATATGAAGAGTGCGGGTATCTTAACATCAATTTTGTTTATGCCAATATGTTGTAGTGAATATCCTGATGGTACAAAGATAGCCAAAAGTATATTTTATCTGGAGCGTCACTAATACTTTTGTATATTTTATTAACAATTTCATTAGGGTACACAGAAAAATAATAATGCTCATTATTTAGGTGTGAGAGGGAATGGAAGATGAGGATAGAGCAATGAGGTATGGGGTAGAATATTGAGGATAAAGAGGGGGAAATAGAGGGTGTTTAACGGGGGCAGTGACCGGGTGCTTGGAAGTGGGAGAAGTCTGGAGATTGAAGAAGACGTTAACGCCATTCTATATGTCGTTATTCCTTACCCATGTGGTTAATTCAGCTTTGAATTTGCCGAGAGTATTTAAATGTTTTAGTCTCGCTGGTAATTTATTCTAGGCTCGGATAGCTGTAATGGTAAATGATTTACTGAATGAAGTCATGTTGTGACGTGGTACACAAAGCAGGGCTGATTCACGAGCTCGATTTAGTTTCTGAGGATTGAAGTTACTTATGAGGCGTGTTGCATGAGAACCAGTTAAAACTTTATAAAGAAGTAGAGAGTGGAGTAACCGTCTTTTGTCTAGAAGGGTATCAAGTGAAGCTCTTGCTAACACTCTTTGGAATGAAAATAGATATGATAAATTTCAGGGTACCCTCTCTCCTTAAAGAGTAAAAGAAAACATGAGTAATGGCTATGCAAGAAACAAATAGTGGATCAATGAGCTTTACACTGTCAGAAATAGAGAAAACAAAATTGTTTTTGCCTTCATGATGGAAAAATTGAAAAACTGCAATAGTAAATTACAAAGCTGTGAATGTATGAAGAATACATAAAACAAATGGAATCTGTGAATTGGAAGGAGGTAAGTTTCTAAAACTGATAACTAATTGAAGGATTAATATAATATCAAGAAATATGTTCTGGGAGAGTGAACGTAAAAATTACAATTTTTGAGGGACCATTATAAGAGGGTGTAACTAATATGTGTGCACTTAACAGTAATGTAAATGTTGAAATGGAAGAACATCTTTTGTGTAATCTTAAGTTAATCAAATAATCTTAAAGAAAAATTTTTCACCAATTGAAGATTCAAACGAGATGTTTTGGTGTAAATAATGGCATGTGACATGTCATGTTCTGAGAGGAAAATGCAATTTGATGCCACTGTTTTAATGTAATACTACATAATGTATGAATGAATTATCATTGCCCTTGATGTCTTGTAAGTGCCACCAATATTTAATTCACTTGAAATATAGAAAGAGCTACTCCCTCTCCATTAAAGCCAATAATGATTTTGTTCAAATTGTTAAATGCCATTATTTACTCCTTAACCCATTAAATATTGAGTTAATAAAGTACTCAGAAAGATGTATGAAATTCTTCATTTTATTAGAAAAATACAAAAATTAGGAAAATAATTAAGGGAAAAACTATTGGAGATTCGAAGTGGGACATAGAATTAATCATCTCAAAAGTGGCATATCAGAAAGGTAATAAATTTACACAAGAGGCCTAAAAAGTCTTAGTCTACGGTTTGAACTATATGACTGCAGCCATGTAGTTTTTATATTGTAGTCATTCACATTACATTTAAAATTTTATGATTAAAAATATGAAACACACCAAAAACAACTGAATAGGATTTACAGAATTGACAATGTAATGTTATGTGGTGATTTTAATGCTAGAGTAGGGAACCAGCCAATGGGTAAAATCTGAATTCCTCCAAAATGGTTAGCGAAGAAGAAATCCCCCCCCCCCCAAAAAAGGTCAAAAAAATTTGTAATCGAGAAATAAAACAAATAATAAAGGAGAAAAAGGAAGCATATCTAAAATGTTTACAAACTAAATCACAAGATGACAAATGAAATTGTAAATTCAATTATGCAATAGCAAAAACGAAGTAAGAAAATTAAAAAGAGAAAGCTGGGATAACTACGTAAGCAATATTGAATGCGATGTTCATGGTACTCAGACAAGGCTCTGAAACATTTAAACACAGAAGACACTGTACATCTGAATAATATCAGATAGAAGATTGGTTAGAATATTTTACTAATCCATGGACAAACCATACAAGTGGAGATATTTTAAGGAATGACTGCCAAACTTTTGAATCAGTAAATGATATTGACCTTATAGAATAAAATAAAATGGAAAGTATCCTAAATTCGTTCCTTAATACCAAAAGCCAAAAACCCCTGGAAGCGATGGAGTAAACATAGAACTACTAAAATATACTCCCAAGGCTATTAAACTTTTGTGCTGCACAACTTACAGTATCCTGAGTGAGTGGAAAGAATCAACAATCATTCCAATCCATAAAAAAGGAAAGTGTTCAAATCTAAATAATTGTAGCGATTAATTTGCTAAAGACAGCCTATAAACTACTTGTATATGCTAAAATAATCACACAGACTAAATGTAATAAGTGAAGTTAAACCAAGAGAAGAGCAAACAGGCTTCAGGAAAGGAAGATCTTGCTCAGACTGGTATATCGTACAGAAAATTATCGAAAAAAAAAAAAAAAAAAAAAAAGAAAAGAAAAGAGAGAGAGAGAGAGAATTCAATCTCCCAACATTCATCCTTTTTGTGGATTACGAAAAAGCCTTTGATTCCATTTACAGAGAAAATCTATGGGATATAATACATACTAAAGGCTACTATAATCATCTTATTAAAACCACAAAAAATCTTTATAAAAACACAAAAATAATAATACAAATAAATGACAAGTATAGTTGACCTTTTGTCAACCAATGCATCAAAGAAGATTGTCCATTATCACCGACACTTTTATATATACATAGATACTGCTGTAGAAGAATAGTAGGTAAACATCATCACCACCTGGAATAAGTATACGTAACATGCCCTTCAAGACTATGATATTTGTAGATGTATTACTTGTTGCAGAATTTTAAAATAACTTACAAATAGCGGCTTACAAATTACAAAAAAGTAATGGAGCAATCATAAGATACGTTTCTAAATCTAAAACCATTGCTTTTGTAGTCCAGAACATTCCAGGTGTAAAATAATACCAATAATAGTATCAACAATCCAGGTTCTAAATAATAATAGTTTAGAACAAGTTTGCACCTTTCATTACAGAGGCTGCAGTGTCTCATAGAAAGCGATCTTGATGTCAAACTGAGTAGATTCCAGAGAATGTGTGGAACAAAAAGAAAAACATTAATAAAACCCAAAGAGACTCGGTTAAAATTCTATAACTCGCTTGCCACCCCAATGGATGGAATTGAAACTAGCAAAATGAAGTTCC